TGATAGCTGATAATCAGTTTAACTTACTCAGCAATCACAAACTCTTCCCTTCGTGGCTCCTTAGTTCAGGTTTTTATTTTTGCTTAGCATTTTGGACTCTCATCTGCATAATTTTATTATTTGATGGTTTATCTCTTTCAGAAATGTGAAAATTCATAATTTCTTATGTAATCCTGCCCACCTCCCTGACTATTTGGATAACTTCCCCAGTAGCATATGGATGGTATCATATTCTTTACCCCATCTTACAGAACTTTTCTCTTACTACAAAATAGTCATCTCCCCCTGAATGTTCCATCATCATCTTCTTTAGAAATGGGACCAAATTGTCATGAGTTTGCTTATTTTATGGAAGAGGTGTTTGAGTATATATTTACTCAAATGTATAAGGATTTTCCAGGAACAATTCAGTAGCCTCAGTAATGTACACTATGTTCTCTTGTGTGCTGAATCCCTTTATCTACACCCTAAAGGACAGAGACATTTCAAGTACCCTGGGACTATGCCACATCAGAATATTCTAATCTCAGGTGCTGTGATAGCTATTTGAATATAGTTAGAAAAATTCAAACAACATAACACCTAGACTTGCAAAACCACCCTGCTTGGTCATGTTAATGTGTTTTCATGGCTTTAGTTTCTCATTATCTTTCATAGTATAATACTGGTGGCATGAATGGGGAATTTTAAAATTGATTATAAATTTTAATTTTGGAAAGCAAAAGGTTCCTGAATATGTAATATGTTGAGTATCTTACAACAATGCGAATCTAATGGGAGTCATGGAGGTGTGTACTTAATATCATTAAAAATGTAAGTTTGTTTTTTATTTTTATCCAAGAAGGAAATAAAGCAGATGGACATTTAAAATTATACATTAATGTGAGAATTGATTAGAACACATAGTTTTACCTGGTACAGGAAAAGCCCAAACCCTCTTGTGGATGCTTGTTTTCCTTTTCTCTCTGTGTTCCTTTAGTTTTGGGAAGTCCTTAGAGGTTGGGATGGCAGGGACCAATTTGGCTAATTATGGATTCTGTGTACTGAGCCTCCACAGCCATATAGGTGTTAACCATCAGCTTGTGCCTTCATCTCTTCAGTTTGATGATCCCAATCCAGTGAGTCCCATACCTGTGTCTGAGCGCCCGTGGTGGTCTGGACCAGGAAGCTCCTATCTGTCTGCATTAATTGAATCCTGAGGACAGAGGCTGAGCCTTCATTGGGCAGCAGGCATAGGAGGATCTTTTAATGTTCTCTTCTTTACTGTGATCCAGCAGAGAAACAGCATCATCCAGTAAGTGCAGAGGGACCTCATGGACCTAGAAAAGATCCTTGAAATTATAGTTTCCTTACCATGAAGACAAAATGACAGTTGTGTAGACAGATGGGAAGGTATAAATATGACACATATCAGTTATGAGATGTTATGTGTTTTGGGGTGTAGTGAAGAAAGTAGAATGATTATGTTAAATTTGGTCCCTACAGCTCCTGTTTCTGATTCCCATTTGTGTCTCATCCATAGCAGAAGAAAATTTTTGTTTCTGCAGTGTTTCCTAAGCACTGTGAAAGAATGGTGAAGGTGATGATGTAGAGGAGGAGGACAGTGAGCATAGCATCATGAACTGGTTCTGAGGGCTTCCTGGACTCCAGGCAATGAGCAATATGTTCCATGCAGCACACATTTCATTGGTTTTGTCTTTCTGTAATTATCAGTGCTCACATCCTTATTTAGTATGCAAAATGGACTTGTTTTAATGAAATCCACAGCAAGTTGTTATGTATAAAAATGTTAAGCCACATTCAAGTTGATCTGTCTGATTACAGACACAGGACATCACATGAGGATAAGTCCTGGCAGTTTTTCCCTTAATAACACAAACAGCCATTTTCCTTTCCTGTCATGGGAGGAAGGGAGTCCATGTTCACTGCTCCAGTCCTTTGCAGAGGTCCCCAAGAAATCACAGAACAGAGAAATAGGCGGCACCAGCTGCATCCACCAAAGGAAAGACAGTTACGGGTCACAGGCTAGCATCCCAGAAAGAATATACACTCACAAGATGAAAAATTTTACATATATAGTTTTTGGAAATCAGAAAGGTATCTCCCATTAGTATTTTTATATAGATCTCCACTTGTATGATAGGGAAAGATGCACAAGTATTTTCAAAAGATTATAATCATAATAAAAACTAATATACTCTGTATAATTTAGCACAAATTTTTTGGCTACCACACTGCAAGACACTTGTGGAACTTCTCACATCCTTCTCTGTACATGAAATTATTTCACACAGTCTCAAATGGGGATATGTCAAATCTTGACTTCATTTCCCTTTAGGAAATGAAGGAGTTAAAATGTATCTGAAGTGCACACCAGGTTAAGACTTCTAAGGCTCTGCTTAAGTTTTTGTGTTCATTGGGAATCAATGTAAAATTTTAGCATATTTGTCATCATCTGGGAATTTAACTTTTAAATCCTTTAGCTCCTCTTAGTATATTTTTTTCTTTTTTTCTTTTTGGTACCAGGGGTTGAACTCTGGATCTTGGGTTTGCTAAGCAGGCACTGGAATCACTGAGCTAAATTCCTGGCCCTCCACTTAGTATTTCTTGATGTAGGGCAGGTTTTTAATATCTCTGAGGCAACAGTAACTTTAGTATTGATTTCTCTTTAAAACAGTGGCACTATGGATTATAACTATGAGGTGGGTTGCATATAGGTTTAATATGTATAACATTAGAGCAAAATAAAATTTAGTTGATAAAATATCTTCATACTAATTGTGTCCTGTGACTTGAAATTGCTCTTTTCCGATTTCTGTAGCTTCACATTTTATTTTTGTCTTTGTATAATTATATGCATATATTTGGAGGGCAACGATATACTGTCCTTACATCCACTTTCCCAGAGCCTATACATGGTTTGACACAGAGGAGGCATCAGAAATTAAAAAACCTCTGTTAAACATTGAAAGGATTCTTCCTTAGTCACAATAATTGTCCTTAGCATGCCTGGTAAATTCCTGCATGCATACCCATTCCTTCCTCGAATATCCCATAGATGTAGAGACTATAAGTACAGCTTGTTTGTGTCTACGTCATGGACACATGGGCCCGGTAGTTCATTTATTTGAGTTTGCACCCATGGTTCAAAAACTCAGCAGAGATATGTATTGGTTTTAAAAAGGACATGCAGAAAAGGAAGCAGGTGAATGTATGCACCACTGGAGTAAAATGTTCATGTTGTCTATCTATGATGATGACATTTCTTTGTGTCTTATTCCAATGAGATCATTACTGGACAGAATGCAGGAATATTTTAAAGATATTTCTCAAAAATAAGTTGATGTAAGTGATATTGACTCTTGAAAAGAAAGTGCAAAATTTTTCATGTATTATGTTTTGGAAATCAGAAAAGTATCTCCAACCAATATTTCAGTAAAAATTTTCACTTGTATGACAGGGAAAGATGCACAACTCTGAGGCTAATGTGTCTCGCTAATTAGAAGTGTGTATCCATCTCTCTGTCATCTATGTATCTATGGATCATGAGTGATAAAAATTACATATTTTTAAAACTTTCAGACACCAGCAATATAAGGTAGGCAAATATTATCACCATTTTATAGTTGAGGGAAATTACTTTATTTACAGGTATGTTTAAATTATTTTATATGCTTTATCTTTTGTACATGAGGTTTCAGCTATGTAACAATTTCATGGACTTCCTTTTGCGCTTTCACAAATTAAAGTGTTGTCTGATAAAACAAAGTGTCCCAGATTCATTCATGTAGCTAAAATAAGAGAAATACAAATCATACATTGGGAAAGATTAATGTGAAACATCTGTCAATCAAAATTAGCAAGGCTCAAAACAAGTTGGGACTTTGGGAATTTCCTAGTTTCTAATGTTTTCCTCTGGATTTAGTATCAGAGAAACAATGAATCATATTACCATCTACTGTAGAACACAGAATATTTAAAAAGAGCAATGAGGGCCAGGGATTTAGCTCAGTGGCATCGCACCTGCCTCACAAGAAGGTCCTGAATTTGATCCATGGTAACAAATAAAAGAGAGAGAGAGAAAAGAAGTAGCCTATATATTAGATATGTTAGCAATATTTTATGAAGTGATTAAAATAAACCTGTATAAGATTTAAAAGGACAGATGTGGTTCTTATAATTTATTATTTTAATCTTTGACATGTATGGTATTCACTAATGTCACATTCATAGTTATTGTGTCATAAGATTATGTGTATATATTAGGACCTGCATTATATAAATTTACATTCACCATAAGAAAGCAAAGAGTTACATATTAAATAAGTTGTATATAACAAAGGCTGAGTGAGCTCTTATATCCTTGAAGCATAGAAATAAGAAAACCAATGAATGTTGAAAACTTCCAGGGAGATAACTGGCTCAATACTATGCTTTTTCATTATGAACTATTAACTAAAATTGAATATTTAGATAATCCATTCCTAGATGTTACAATGACTGCAGACATCCTAGGTCAAGAGAAATTTTCCACTTTTCTGAAAATAAAATAAGGTATATTTAAAAGAGTATTAGTTTTATCCAATAGAATCATATGTCCTTATCTTTTAAAAGAGTTTGGTAGATTTTACTGGGGTCATAGAGCTCTCAACTCAAATGTTCTAATCTGGCCACTAGAATATCTTTAAAGTGAGAGTGCACAAAAGGAGATGAATAACAACCCTAGGAGGAAAGGGCTCCTGAGAATGGGGTTTATCACAATGGATCACCATGTTTTAAGGTTTATAGACCTCATGTGGGAATGTTTGCTTGTGAATACTTGAAATTATAACAGAGAGTATTCTCTTCTATTTATTAATTTCATTTTTCTAACAAAATTTTTAAAAAGGTGTTCAAGTACTATGAAAATACATAATCTAACCTACATCTTAGAATTCCATCTCATTGGTTTCTCAGAGGATCCAGACCTGCAGCCTGTCCTCTTTGGATTATTCCTGTCCATGTACCTGGTCACGGTGCTCGGGAACCTGCTCATCATCCTGGCTGTCATCTCTGATTCCCACCTCCACACTCCCATGTACTTCTTCCTCTCCAACCTGTCTGCTGTTGACATCTGTTTCACCTCTACTGTGCTCCCAGAGATGATTGTGGACATCTCAACTCACAGCAGAGTCATATCCTACATGGGATGCCTCACCCAGATGTCATTTTTTTTAATGTTTGCATGTATGGATGCCATGCTTCTGACTGTGATGGCCTATGACCGGTTTCTGGCCATCTGCCACCCTCTGCACTATGCAATCATTATGAATCCTCGCCTCTGTGTCTTACTACTTTTGCTGTGTGTCTTTATCAGCCTTTTGGACTCTCAGCTTCACAATTTAGTTGCCTTGCAATTTACCTGCTTCAAGGATGTGGAAATTGCTAATTTCTTCTGCCATCCTAGTCAACTCCTTAGACTTTCATGTTATGATACTTTGATCAAAAGCCTAGTTACATATTTGGTTGGGGCCATATTGGGCTTTTTTCCCATGTTAGGGATCCTTTTCTCTTACTGTAAAATTGTTTCCTCCATTCTAAAAATATCATCATCAGGTGGGAGGTGCAAAGCCTTCTCTACCTGCAGTTCTCATCTGTCAGTTGTTTGCTTATTTTATGGGACAGCTATTGGAGTGTACCTTGGTTCGTCTGTGTCATATTCTCCCAGGAAGGGCATGGTGCTCTCATTGATGTACACTGTGGTCACCCCTATGCTGAATCCCTTCATCTACAGCCTGAGGAATAGGGACATCACTAGCACCCTGAAGAGGCTCCACTGTTTTTCAAGTCTAATCTCAGGTTGTTTGGCATCCATTAGGGATGCCATTTTTGAAAATCTAGTGAAAGTGAATACCCCTAACTCACTTGTGAACACTATCTTATTTCACATATGATCTCAGAAAATTGATGTCTTCAATTACTTTTTGTGATTCATGTGAGAATCATGGCTGATTGGGGCTTGGTGGAATTTAGGTTTTATTTATATCACTGAAAAGTTTCAGTTGAAGACATGAAAGATGTTTAGTGTTTTTATTTGTACAAAATTGCTGATGTAACTAACATTACTAAACTCTGCTTAAGCCTCATTAAAATTAAACATTTAAATATGTATGTCTCACTACAATGAACAATGGGAATAAAAAGTTGAGGAATTTTAGACAGTGTTCCTCTATGTATTTCAGGCTGGCTTTAAACTTACTAGGTATCCCAGGCTGGCCATTAGCTCAAGGTGATGCCCCTAGCCCCTCTTGAAAGCTAATATTACACGTGTTCACCACCATGCCAGGCTCAGGATATTTTGTAAAAAGAAAAAATTAACAAAATGAAGAGTACACTTGAGATTCCTACTGAGTAGAGGCTCAGTCCCATTCCTTTTGTGGATATGGATTTTCTCATTTTTCATCGACTTCCTTAAAATTTCAGAAGTCATTAAAATTGGCTTAACATGGTCCAATTTATATATTTATTATGTGCATGCATTAAGCCATGGAGGTTAATCATACATAATAGTAATACATAATAATACATGGTCATCTGGTTCTATTTTTTATCTATATTTGTTGTACTAACATATTTACGCACAAACCATGTAAGGATTTCTTTTCTCCATATCCGCATCAACAACTCTCCTCCATATTTGGTAACAGCCTTTATAACAGGTGTGAAATGCTATATCATATAGATTTTGATTTGCATTTCCCTGATGGATCATAAATTGACCATTTTGCTTTACTATTGACATTATTTTAAGCAATGTCTAATTGGTTACTATTATAATTTTTATACCGTGTTATCTATTTTTAGCTACTATTAATTTCTTTATCATAAGTTAAGGTTATTGGTAAAATGTAGACATACATAATGATCACATTCATCATATGGAATTTGTACCTGTACATTTAATATCTTGATTCTTATTTTTTCCCTTTGCTCTTCTCTCCCTTCTACCCCTCTTCCACTTCTCATTTACAATGTCATCATTTCCATTTTATTTTTCATTTCTCATTTTTTATCTTTTCTCTGCCTTCCTTTCCCCCTACCCTTGCATTGTCCCCATTCCAATTTGAACATTTTGTTCCTACTTCACAATATCTTATACATTTTGGTTCTTATTCATACTTTTAGTTTCTCACACCAGAGAAACAATGTGATATTTATAAATGTGTTTGATATATTCTTTTAACAGTATGGTCTCTAGATGCAAACTTTTACCTAAAATGTCTCAAATTCATCCTTCTGTATGGCTGAGTAGTACTACAACATATAAAAAACAACAAATGTTTATCCATTACTTGGGTGATTGGCATGTGGGCTGTTTCCAAATATAACTGTTACAAACTGTACTGCTATGAACATGGGTCTGCATACATCACAGTGGTATAGTGCTTTAATTTTTTCAGGAAGATTCCAAACAGAGAAATGTCTTGATCAAATAGAACTTCTAGTCTTAGTGATGAATATGCACACCGATTTTCATCATGGTGGAACCAATCTACACTCACATGAACAGTGAAGGATTTCTTTTTTCCCTCACCCCCTCCAGCATTTGCTATTGGCTGCTTTCTTTTTTTGTATTAAATTATTTTATTGGTACATTGTAGGTATACAACACAATTACATTTCTCATTGGGAATTGTACCTTTACATAATGCATCTTGGTTCTTATTT